GAAATATCAAGGAAATGAGAAGACAAAGAAGAGTTCAGTCAAACAATGCTTGCTAGAGTTAGGAGAATTCAACCAGAAGGAAACAAAATCAATCGAATCATACTATGATCGATTTAATGAATTGATCTTTAAATGTTCTCGCTTTGGAGTGACATGTTCATCGCTAGATTTCAATCTCACGTTTCTTATGTGTTTAAGAAAGGAATGGAGAAATATCAGTCTGATGATCAAGACACAAGAAAGCTTTGATGGTTACTTTCTTGCAAATTTGTACAATGTCTTGAAAGCACATGAAAGTGAGATGCTGAAGAAAGCAAATTGAGTTTGGGAGGACCTTTGGCATTGGTGTCGAAATTTGCTACAAAGGAATAGGAAATCGAATCTGATGATGAACCCAAAAATGGTGAAGAAGGTTTCTTGTTTAACTTTGATGATGAAGCTGTCGCATACTACTCGAATAACAAAGTGAAGAAATTCTTTAAGAAGGCTTTTAATCCAAAACTCAAGAATAGAAATGAGGTTAAAGTAAACATGTCATCTAGAAAGAAGTGTGAAGGATGATTCGAAAGAAGAGAAGAAGGGTGTTAAGGGTACATATGAGAAGAAGAAGGAACTGAAACTGAAAAGGGACTCAGGTTACAAATGCATCTACTGCAATGGGTTGATTCATTTGGCAAAGGATTGCATGCTGAGGAAGAAAGAAGAGAAAAAGGAGAGAGTCAAAGACGAATCCTATTACATGGAAAGGCTTGAATAAATTCGCTCACATACAAAGAACCTTTTGTTCGTTGCTAAAGGAAATGATGAGGAAGATGGAACTTATCAGATCTGGTCTTCGGGATCGGATGACGAGGAGATACGAAATCCAACTCATGGGGAAATGTATGTGAAAATGGAAGAGGATGAAGTGCATAAAGATCTTTTGGATGAGAAGGATGAAGAACATGAGATTACTGGAATGTTTTTCGTGTCGACATACTCTACTAAATCACCAATAACTGCAAAGGTACGTGATCTTCTTAACTCATTTAAAATTCCTTCATCTTATTATAATGATGTTTTGTCTGAGTTTGATAATATGTGTGCTTATCTTAATGACATTTTAATCTCCATGAGTAGTGAAGCAGAAAAGTCCAAATCCCAATTATATGAAGCTAGAAATAAACTCGAAGAAAAGAAGCGACTAGTGGAATCTCTTGATCTAAGAATAACAAATCTTTTAATAGATATAGACTCACTTATAAAGGACAATTCGATGCTTGTTAAACAAAGGAACATATATTGTAATTTAGCTAAACGTCTGTATGGTAAATTGACAGAATTTTATCATTCAACTCACATATGCGATCAATATCATTGGAAATTGCTTCATTTTCTTTCATTTAAAAGAGAAAAAAATAGATGAAACATCATATGAGTGTGAAAGTAATATAGTTGAATATGATAAAATTCCAAATGATTCTTATGCATATGGTATTGTAAACATAAATGAACAAGTCAATATTTTAAACTTGAGTAAGAAGTCGACACTTGGTACTCAACAAAATTTTGCTGATATCAAAGATAATTCTGAAAATATCAGTGAAATTGAGGCAGAGTAATGTGTCGATTGCTCACGGTTGTCTATCATTAATATAAATTCAATGGCTAAGGGCAAAGAATATAATGATTCAATGTTGAATGTAAACAATGATCAACCTTTGGCATCCAAAGTCTGTGATTCTCATGATCATGTTGTGGTTGAGGATTATGTGAGTGATGAGGATGAGGTTTCGAATGAGAAACCAACTCTAAGAGTTATGGTAGATTAAGTCTTTGAAGATTAAAAGGAGTACAAAAAATTGTTGAAAGACAAAGGAAAACGCTATCTTGAATCAAATGCAGTGGTTTATCCTAGGTTCAAGGATTCAGAAGAAGTTGTGTTTCCAAATCAAGTCCTTGTCGCCAAAGGAAATGGTAATAATGTGGCTCCTAAATTGAACAAATTGGTAAAGGAAGATAATGAGAGTGTGACAAAAGAAGAATTTTATTCGAATCAAAACATAATCAAAAATGGTTTGAACAAAAATTCGAAAGCTTTTCAACAACATACTAAACCAAAACGTGTTTGGGCTGTGAAAACAAAAAATCAGTTGTTAATAATAAAAAAAAGAAAAATGTATTGATTCTTTACCTAATGATTCAAAACATGAAAAGGTGAAAACTCAAACTTTCAAAAAAATGAGTAGAAAAATTGTTTTCTGATGAAAGAATTTCGAAATCAAAAGTACAAAATAAAGCCTATTGGAAAAATGAAATAGCTTTTCATAAACAAAAGGTTTTTAAACAAAAATCTTCTGAAAAAACAAAGATGTTTTTACAAAATGCAAAGAATTTTCAAAACAAACAATTTCAAAAACAAAATGATTTTCAAAGGAGTTGAAACCTGATTCAAAATAACTTTCGACCAAATGGTTTACAAAGAAATGTTCAAAATCATAGACAAAAGAGTTTTACTCAAAATCATGAACAAAGAAATGTTCCAAATCATGGACAAATGAATTTTGTTCTAAATCATGGACAAAGGAATTTTGGTCCAAATCATGGACAAAGAAGTTTTGATCAAAATCAGAAAGTTTTTCAACAAAATGGTGTTGGTTATCAAAACCGATATCAAATTCGTTTTCAAAATCATTCACAAAGATCATTTCCTGAAAGATAATTTAAGAAATTGGAAGTTAAAGGAAAGAAGAGTGAACCTTTTAAACCTAAAAACCCACATTTTCCAAATCCCGATTCGAAACAGAAGATGAAAGAATCATTCACAAAAGGTAAAAGTGATGTTAAGAACATCAATCCTTGGCTTGAAGGAAAAGGAAAACAATATCAATCACGGAAGTATTCTCAAGAGCTAATACAAAATGCTTACGAGAAGTAATTGAATGATTTGATGAATGGAAGTGAAGGGTTTTGAGCATCCTAACAACCTTAAGGTGCACATACAACCCTAAATGATTTGGATCTATGTTTTCTCTAGTTATACATGCAAAATGATTTTCCAAAGCATTATCCTAACTAGCATACAAACATGGGTACTTGTATAACAAAAAATCTAGTTAGAAGACATACCTTTTCTTGTAGCTTGATTCCTTGTACCTTTAAGAGCCTAGCACCCCAAATGTGATGCCTCAAATGCTTCACACAACACCACAACCAATGGAGGACTTGAGAGATAATACTTGCACTCAAAAATTGGCCATAGCTCTTCCAAGAACACTAGGGTGCCGATTTTAGGAGCCATGGGGTCTCTTATATAGTGTGGCAAAACTAGGGTTACACCATGTAAACCCTAATGTGCATGACCTTCCATATTCCTTATGTGTCATGGGTTTAAACCTCCATGGACCATCCATGGGTTGTGACATTGGTTTAGCCCAACTTAAAGAACTATGGATCATTGGCCCACATTATAAGAATCAATGATTTACACAATCAATCCCCATATATTTAATTAGTCTCTTTTGATCACAAAATTAATTCCAAATTAATTCTTGATCAATACTAATTAAATAATATGATTTCATATTAATATATTAGAACTTATAATATATTAATAAATCATAAATAACCTCTTCTCAAATGTCCATCCTTCATATTGTTCTGGTGCCATGCAACCCAAATGGACCATGCTACTCTCGGGTCAAGTACATACCAATTATAGTTATAGACTTAGGTGCTGTTTGTTTTTTCTGAGGCAAAATGTCTGCAGTCTGCGGACCACATCTGTAGACCTCTGCAGTAGAAGATGTGGACCAAACGTCTGCAGTCTGAAAAAAAGAAGACTGTTTGTTTTTTTAACATCTGTAGGATACTAAAATAAACTGAAATCTAAATAAACTGGTTGTTTTAAACTTCAAACTGTTTTTTAATATTTTTATGACTTTGTTATAAATAATTAACAAATCTATATCAACTTTTATGTATTATTGTATAAAAAATAAAAATAAAAATGGTATGAATTAACGTATATATTTGATAAAAAACCAACAACTTTGGTTGCAAAGTTATAACTAAACATTATAATTAAGGATCAAAGAATTTAATACATAAATGGATGGAAATAAACTTCGATTTTTTCAATTAAATCCATTAAAAACGTAGCATAAATATTTTCTCGAGAAATTGACGATAGTGTATTAAATAATGTTTTACAAAATTTAGCAAAAAAATATAAGAATATATTATGATTTTTTTCGTATTTATATAAACAACTTCAACGACTATTATTGTAATAAATCTTTATTTATAAATTTGTCAAAAATATCATGTTTGTATCGTCAAACCTTTTTTTTTTTTAAGTTTTGTAATTTTTTTTTTCAAATTTTTTATCATTAATAAAGTTGGAAAAAATATAAATTAAAAAAAAACTGAAAAAAATATAGATATATGTGTTTTTTTAGTCTAGAAGATGTTAGAAGACTCTGATCCACATCTGCGCCAAGAAGAGGGCGCGCAGATATTTTTAGGTCTACAGTCTTCAAAAAAACAAACAGTCTGCAGACAAAAAACAAACACCACCTTATACACCTTATCCAACAGGAATTACTTCATCTCAAGAGTCTACACCATCGGTGGGAAAGTGAAAAGAAATTCCAAAGAAGAAAGTAGATGTTTCTCAGAAAAAAGATGAAAAAGTGAAAATCAATGTTGAACCTTCCCCATTGCATGATTATATTTCGATGCCTAATAATCTAATGAAATGACGATTTAGAATTTTTGCGGGAATCATGCAGAACGTGATGATCATTTTTCCTACGTGGCGATTTTTACTGTGCCGGTTAAGTAACCAATAAAATACATGGCATTTTCTTACTGGGTACCGATTCAAATTCAAAGATACACACAAGTTATAAAAGGAAAACGATGATTTCCTTTTAATCTTTCTGCTCTCTGATTAAACCTAAAAGAACCCTAACTGTTCATCGATTCCAAGTTCTTCAAATTCACTCATATTCTCTACAATGACCGCTACTCCTCACAATGTTGATCCAACAACAACCAATGATGAAGAAATAACGCAACTTATGATGATGATTCAAAACACTAATCTTCGTCTTGTTCCCACACTTGATCAATACCCGGAGGAGTTAAGGATGTTGATTCAAACATTAAACAACTCTAATCTATCATATGCTCTGTCTTCATCATTTGCAATTCCGATGGAATGGCTTTCTCTTTCTACTTCAACCACAGTGTTCAACAAAACTAACAAGGTGGTTACGTTCCAACTATCGAATTCAAAAACAAAGAAGCTCACTCAGAAGCAGCTTGCCTAAATTCTGAAATTACCCACATCAACTACTTTCTTTGAAGTTTCAAATGATCAAGTGATTCATATGTTCACCGAGATGGGACATCAACCTACTCTTACTGCATTAAGCCACTTTAAGAAGTCAAGTCTTGTTTAGAATCATTTTAAGGTGCTTGACAGGAAGAAGCTATGCGCTTAACAAGGCTAAACTCGAAGTATACTCAGTCATGGCAGGATTGTACTATGGTTTGAATGTGGATTATGCTTCACCTCTATGGGAAGAGTTTGGAAATTCTATCTCTCACACGAAGCTAGAAACTGGTGTGTCGAGTTCTTGATTTGGTACTTCGTTTACCAACCAATGTTCCACATGTTGTGCAAGTCTCGCAAGGGGGAGAAAGAGGAGTTGGAGGAGATGGATCTTCAAAAGATTCTGATAATGAGAAAGGAGTAGTTGTTAGGAAAGTAATTTCGACTCAAATTCCAACTTCAATTCCTATGAAGCCTATAATGGTGTCTTCGACTACAACAAACTCTTCAATAGCAAGTTTGCCAAAAGCTCCTTCAAAAGGCATTTCGATTAAGGAAGGAGAAGGAGTTTCAAGTTGTGCTCTTGTCAAAACAACTTCATCGATTGAATCGAAAGACAAAGGCAAAGTCATTCTTATTGAACAATCATACGAGGAAAAGAAGAAGCAACAAGCAGCTGAATTGGAGCGATAAAGGCAAATCAATAGCATTCTTCGTCAAAGGGAGAATGATCCACCAGGCCTAAACAAAGGTGACCCAAACAAACAATGGTGTTACGAAACAATTGAAATCGCAGTGTTAGGGAAGAATGATGAATTTCATAAAAGGCTGAAGAAGAGCTTTTAAAATGAAAATTCGGAATTCAATCAACTCGATTTTCCTATCAATCACATGTTGTTCACATCTCCAAAGTTCAAATTAGCAGACAACTTCAATGATAAAAACGAATACAAAAACCTGAAGATTCGTTTTCATGCTATCTTGGTGAAAAATGAAGATGATGTATGGTCGTTGGTGAAAATAATGAAGGTGATGAAAATTGAAAGGGATTCCTTGTTCGAGGTTCTACTTCAAAACTTTCGATATTCAGTTGTGAGAGCTAATAATGTTGAGTTTGAATTCAACATTTCTGACTTTCCACTGATGAGCCTGAATGATCTTATTTCGATAACCAAGATCCTAATCAGTGTGGATGTGTCGACGATCCCTGAATCAAACCGAAATGATTTCATTATTTGCTTTGGTTATATAAAGGCTTTTCTGGAGAGCTACGACAGATATATGGCCATTACTGATAATGATCTTGCCTTGGCTATCAAGAAGAATGTGAAAGTGCTTCAAACTCTTGCAAAGGCTAAGTTGAACATCGACGAATTTAAAGGCATTGAAATTACCCATCAACCTTATGGTGTGGTTTTTCAGGGAAAGAACAATAGGGGGAACTTAACGAAGTTTTTATTTCAAATCACTGATCTAGAAAGATATACAAATTCCCATTTCACCAACATCTTGATACACATCAACAACTACAAGAAGAATGATGTTGAAGACAAGGTTGAGATTAGAAAGATTATTTTGTGGTACATGGAAGTTCGAAGGGAGCTTCTACAAAAAATGAAGTTAATAGCTTGATATTTGACTACTCTCACTAAGGTGGAGATTGTAATGGTCGGATGTCTATAGTGAGGAGTTGTTGGGGTGTTTAATGTATTGTATCAATATTGTTTTGTGCTAGATTAGTCCATAATGTAACGGGTTGGGCCTATCCACCAGGGATTTAGTTATATTAGGGTTAGACTATTAATATTGCATTCATGTTTTATATCAGGGTTAATCAATTGTATAGCCCTGCATCGCCTTTACAGAGAAGTTCACACAGAACTCTTCTAAGGATTTGATAATAAAATCATTTAGCATTTTTTGATCAATTGTTCTTCTTGTTTTGATTCACTTTTTTGTTAAAGGATCTATCGATCTTAAATTTATTGTTTCAACAATTGGTATCAGAGCAGGAGATTGTGTAATTCATACACATATCTTCTATGGAGCTTGTTAGGGTTTTTAAGTTTATGTAAGATCCGTTCTTGTCGTCTTCATCATTCTCATCGATTGCAGACAATAGATCTGGTTCCTTTTTTAGCCCTAAACTCGATTATTATATTACACATTTTATTCTTAACAAGTTTTTGTGAATCGACATCATGCAACCAGAAGATCCACACACTCTTTCCTTCAATCTATCAAGCAGCATCAGATCTACTACCAGGATCCCTATTCTTTTTCTACAAGATTATGAAGTATGGGCGTTGTACTTCGAAGAATACATGCTAGGTCTTGAAGATCATGGTTCATTGATATGGGAGTCAATAAACCATGAGATATTTCCTCACACTGCTACAAGGAAAGTCATTAAAACACAAGTTTAATACAATGATCTTCTTATTGAACAAACAAACATTCCTCAACATGAAAAGGAGAAGTTAATAAGTAACGTCAAGGCAATGAGGATTATTAGGTTCTCCCTTCCTCCAGACACATTTCGTCTAGTGAGTTCTAGTGAAAGAGTGAAGGAGATATGGGACAGGCTGAAAGAACTCTATTCAAGTGATGCAGATCTTGAACATTCAGTTCAAACACTACTTCTTTCGGAGTTTGGTGCTTTTGCTCAAAAGCCAGATGAGTAACTTGATCAAACTTTTAATCGTTTTAATCATCTTTTAAGCATGATGTTAAAACACAAGATCAAGCTTGAACCGACAGAGCAAAAGGTGACGTTCATGAACGGTTTGAGATCGGAATGGAAAGCTGTTTTGTCAACCGTAAAATCCCATGAACAATTTAAGAACTATACGTTGGTGAAGCTGGTGGGAATTCTGAGATCACATGAAGATGAAGTAACAAAAGATGTTAAGCTTGTATCCAATATGGGTTCGTTGTCCCTAGTTGCAAAGGGTAAGAAGGTAGCAGAAGAAGACTCGGAGTCTGATCTCTCTGATTGTGAGCTTTCAAAAGAAATATACGCTCTGATGGTGTCAAATCCCAGAAAATTCGCTAAAAAGAATTTTGGACGCCTCAAAAATAGGAACTGGCAAGGGAAATATAGTTCTGACAAAGAAAAGGATAAGAGCCTCAACAACTTGCAAAAGGATAAGGTGAAGAAAGAAAAGAAGCTGATGGGAGATTCCGACTTTGACTGCAACTATTGTCATGGCAAGAATCATTTAGCCAAGGAGTGTATGTTAAGAAGAATGAGTGAGAAGAGGATGAAGAAGATGATGAAGCTTACTATCTTCTAAAGTTAGAAGAGCTTACTATATGGTCAACAGATTTGGAAGATGAGGAAGTTCGGAAGCCCACGCATGGTGGATGCTTCGTTGTGAAGTCTGCAGTCCCTGAGTACGAGGGAAGATGCTTGATGGTTCGCGGAGATGTTTCGGAGCAAAGAGGATATGCTACTCACAACGCGCAGGCCTCTAACAACTATTTTGCTGCAAGACCTGTTTCGGAACAGGTCAATAAATGTGAGAGAAGCATCAGTAAGGTACAGTCTATTCTCCAGTCTCTTAATATTCCAGTCGCTTGTTGCGAATCTGAATTAGACGATTTAAATTTTACTGTCTCTAGTTTTAGTGATAGTTTAAAAAGAACACGTCTAAACAATTCTAACGTAACTGATAAAATCAGCATGATAACAAACAAGAGTGAAGAGAGACGGATGTAGATAGAGAAGTTGGAGTTAGAGCTGAATATGTCTAAGGATGATGTTATTTATTTGATAAGAGACAATTTAGCGCTTTTAAAACAAAGAAATATTTTATGTTTGATTGCTAAGAGATTATAGTTTAACATTACCCAACTGCATCTTGATTGTGAAATAGGGAAAAAGATAAATAAAATGATTTTACCCTTTCTTGAGTTGAAAGAGGATGAAATCGATGCAGAGTGTTATAAGTGCGAATCCATATTATCCTCAGATGATGTTTCCGAATCTTACAAAGTTGGACTTGACAAAATTGAAGCATACATTCAGTCCAAAGATCATAAAAGCATGCTAAAACAAATGTTGGATGAAAATGATAAAGAGAATATTAAATCTGATACTGTACAAAAATTTTACTCTTTATGCACAAAATTGAGTTTGGAAAATACTTTTGATAGTAAGAATGTTTCTGAATTTGACGACAGTGACATTAGTGAGATCTCCGTAGAGGATGATATTGATTGTTCGACATTTGTGCGAAATGAGGATGCACCAAAGAAAAAGTTGATTTCCGAAAACTCGGTTGAATATATTCGTATTGTTGAAAATAAGGGTTCGGATGTTTTAAAAGCAAAAGCTACAGTGTTTTCGAAAGTTCAAACCGTCCCTAATCAAGTTTTCGTAAAAACCGGACTGGACAAAAATCAGACATCCAAACTAACGTCCTTAGTAGATGATGATAATGAAGATGGTTGCGATGAATTCTTTTGGTCAGCACCAACTGATAACTCTGATGAAATCAAAGGTCTTTCCGAAATGACCTCTTGGAAAACCAAAGGGAGATATGTCGCAGAACCATTGAATAGTGTCAACCCTTGTTTTGATAAAGTTGGTCTGAGTAGCACCAAAGATTTCCCTAGTGAAACATCTTCCAAACATACTGACTTACCTGATAGAAAACCGAAGCCTAGAGGCAAAATTCAAAAGTCACCTGAGGAACATATTACCAAGAAAAGACAACTAAATGCTAGATATCAAAAAAACCTAAAAGAAAGAAAGTGATTATGGAAATCCAAAAATTCCAATTCTGTTAACCCAGAAAAATCCGAAAATCACAATGCGAAATTCACTCCAAATCTAAAACCTAATTCGTCTTCAAAGCTATAGTATTCAACTCTACAGGTTTCAAAACCAAAAGTTATTCTGAAACCATTATTTTCAAAACAAATGAAACCTTTGGAAAAGAAAAAACCTTATTTTTCTCCAAAAACAAATGTTTCAAAAACTGTCAACAT